CAGTAATGTGTCTCTGTTATCACCTTTTACAATCACGATTATTTGATCTGTAATAATTACGATTGTTATATGAGAAAATTTAAGTTCCCTCATTAGCATTAATTCGCTTAATAAGCTTTTGAAAAGTAATCATCTATGCTTACTTGTTGAAATTCTTTTCATTATTTTATGAAGTAAATGAAGATATGTTAAAAGTAAATGAAGAAATTATAATTTAAAAATTATAGAAAATCAAAAAGAAGTCTTTACTTTTACTTTTGCTTGTTTCTTTTCCGACATTTGTGAAGTGAAACGATAAAATAAAATTAAAAATGTATTAACGTATAAGTATTAATATATAAAAAGAAAAAGTTTCAGAGAGATTATTATTTACTTATTATTATTATTTTTTACAAACTTAAATACTCATCTATAGACATTAAAAAACAATATTTTGTAAATTTTTTAATATAATAATTATATCGCATCACAAACTTTAACAGATATATATTCTATTATAAATGACTATAATAATTGTAAGAATTATATATTAATATAATATCGAATAGACATCACAAGTCAAGATTTGATTCAATCCTTCGTCATGGAAAATCTTACAATTTTTTTTGTAATTGTTTGAATTATTTCCTAATCATGTTTAGTTTTCCTGGCTTACAGTTTTTGCATTCTTCTAGACAGAAATTCTAGAGAACAATCCATGATGAGTCACGTTTAATTTCTTGACGTCGATTTCTCTTCTCTCTCACTTCTCTTCCATTAATCTCTTCTTATTAATTATCCACAAAATATTTTATAATAATACTTTAAAAAAAGATAGCTAAGTGATGAGGTGAAAAACAAAATTTTGTTGCTATAATATAAGTTACAATGGATCAGATGAATTCTAAATTAAAAATTTAAACAATAATTACTTTTATTTACTTAGATTAATTTTACTAACTTTTCTAATTGTCTCGAAACAGTTATGTTCATAATCGATCACTACTTTCTCTAAGAAAGAGTCTTCAGGTTCAATTTAATTTAGCCTCCAATTCCAATCAGCCGCCTTTAATATAGCGCTAAACGATCAGGACGAAAATACTTGTATTCGAAATACGTTTAACAATGAAAACCGAGATCAAATTTAATATGATAAATCCCAACAATTCGCTACCGTTGTCAACAAATAATGTAAAACGTGAACAAATGCATTGTTTTTCTTGACAAACGTGTTATATTGAAACTTTACATTTAAATGATCATAAATTGAGTTTTTCTCTCGTTTTTTATTACAGTTCGTCAAAATTAGCAAGAATCCCTGTTAAATATTTTAAAGGAAATTCCTTTAATCCTCCCGTTTTCATGTGCGCGTGTATACGCATGTAGAAAATACATCATTCCCGAATTCTGCTTATCGTCACAACAATTGCAATATTCATTAAGATTGTAAGATTATTTTATGAAAACCTCCATCGTGCATATAATCAGAGGGTCGGCTTATTTCGATTAATGCTGAATGCAATGTGCGTTTTAGGACCACAATGTTAACCATTGTAAATCAAATTTTCCTCTTTACCAATGCAACCCGAACCGCCTTCGAGAATATCGAACCGATAAAGCAAAACCAGCACATATATATATATAATATATATATATATATATATATAGTTATATAATTTTAGAATATTCGTTCTATTTTACTACTTATTTATCAAATCGCGCTTTATCAGATATCAAGTATATATATCTAAAAATTATTTCCAATTTATATGTATATTAATTTGAAGTAAAAATAAGGTTAATAAATAAATAAAATAAATAAATAAATCTAAAATACTAAGACTCGATTTTAAATTAATTAAAGAATTTAATATCTATTATAAAAGATACTGAATGCGTAGGATGTTCTCTGTATAAGAGAGGGCGCAGGCAGTTCATCGGATAACTTGGAAGAAATGTCAAAAGTCTACCAGGGTACTCGTTAGATTCATTTTCCACGAGACTCGTGCTTGCAAAGCGCAAGACGCGAGCAGGGAAGCGCGGGTATCTTTCGCGTAGCGTCCTTACGTCCCATTCGAAAATAATACGGCGCCTCTCGTTAAATTACCCGCCCACGCTCGTTTCGCGTCGTCCGCGCGTAATGCGTCACCCCCTTTCCGCCTCTCCATCCCCCGAGCTTACTCTCTCTCTCTCTCTCTCTCTCTCTCTCTCTCTCTCTCTTTCTCTCTTTCTCTCTCTTTCTGTGCCCTCCCCGACGTAATGTACATAAATACATTTAATCTCGCGCTCCTGCTGCCCTCCTGATATTTTTCGAGAGATCGATCGAGCCGCGCGGTCCCACATTTTCCCTGCTAATTCCGAGATCTCGTTTGTGAATTTCGGTCGACGTTGGCGCGTTCCAAAATTGGTATTGGCGATCCCTGGCAGCGCTGAGTTTCTGGCTCGAGCGCCGGGGGTATGGCAGAAGCGCGCGGCTATAATAAAGGCGCGCTCCCCTCTCTCCCCCCCCACTTGCCGTGCCCCGCCTGGTTTTGCCTCTCCTCTCCTCTCCTCTCCTCTCT